TCTATCCCCTTTTTTGAATATGGACGTTGTATTAGCATGCTTCCAATCAGAAGGTACCACACCAGCAGATAATGGAATAGTAAAGTTAAAGGTTGGCTAATAATATCCCTCATCTCTTTTAAAACTATAGGTAAGATGCCATCAGGGCCCTGCAATTTATTTATTATGAACTTAGCTACAAAAGGTAGTTTTAAACTATGCCTCAACAATGTTTATTTCAGCAAAGTGACAGGTAGAATTAGGCTTGATTAGCTGGAATAAACTGCATGGAGATTTTCCTGATATAACTGGTTTGGGTATAATGAATTACTGCTAGTTCATGTGTATCAGTCATTAGAGGGAGGGTCCATTTTGAAAGACTGTCATGTCAAAGGTAGCAAACCTCTTTGAGGATGAAACTTCAAACATGCACTGAATGGAAGCAGGGATTATAGCAAAATGCCCTCCCACACACTGCAGTAAAGAATCGGCTGAATGAATGCAGTAGGTTAGAAATACAGGACTTGCTTCCCATCCAGAATATACCCCTGCCTTATGCCCTACGCTGTCCAGATAGGTTTCTGGCCCCACTATGACCCGAAGCAAGATAAAAATAGAAGATGAGAGGACAACAGATCAGGGCTCTTACTTAGACTACAGTGGATCACCAGTTAACAAGTGGTCCAGACTGGATGGTTGACAGTACAGATGTAGATGGAGAGTGTTGATGTGGTTGTGGTTGTGTCAGAGATTAGCTTGGCTGGCCCCTGTGGTTGGGGTGGGTCACTTTAGCACCCCCACCAAGACCCTGACATATACACAGCTCCCCCAGGCCCAGCAGAGCATCCCCCCCATGCATGATGAGCTCTCAGGCTGCTGGACTACGCGGCGGCTCTAACTCTGCCAGACTCATCAACGATACCTCAGGGGGGCTGCAGTGCACCCCCACTTATAATTTATTATTGTCGATATTTGTATTATTTATTACGAGTCGTTAGGGATGCTGAAAAACACCAAAGAGAAATGTTTGTACTCCACACCTGAATAATGCATGATCTGCTGTTAATGGCAGTAACTGCTGTCACAGTAATACAGGGCAGCTCTGCTCTCTGTTTACGTCTCGCACTTCGGCGTTTGGGCATGTGACACTAGTGGCAGATAGGGGACCATGGCCCAGAGCTGGGCTCAATACGGTCTGGAGAGAACGGGAGCATTGAAGTGGAACCATTTAGCAAAAACCTAAATTTCAGCATAAAGTGTCCTTCTCATGGCCGCTGCAATGGCTTTTTAATCTCACTTTTACTTTCAAGGTATCAACAGACAGCAGGCTGTGGATTTACCGAATAATTTGTCCATGTTAACCTTATAAAATTGTTGCAAAAGTTATGACTTGATTGAAAATTTTGGGAGACACTCCAGGAAGTATAAATAACTTCAGCTTTTAGCAATGGAATGTCTCTCCCGTCGGTGTGGGAATTCTGATGAATTCTGATGAATCGAGAATCATCAGGAATAATACAGGAATAATTTTGGGAATTAGCGTCATAGCGATGCGAGGTTTCTGACCACATTATAATTCAGGTTGCATGGGATTTGGAAATTTTGAAAAAGCTGCATAAATGTTTTTACTAACACTGAAAATACAAAAAGTGTGTTTGTATTATTTCATATTGCTGTCACTTGAGTTGTGTATCATCAGATTGTCCAGGCTGTTTTTTCTGGGAATCCTCCACAATTCCTCCACAATTCCAGGCTTTCACCAAAAGACACAGATCAGCAAAGTCCTTCCATCCCTGTTGATGTTTTCATCCCATTCTTATGAACCAGTATGTAGTATGTGTTCAGTTCACATAAAGGTAACAGATTTGATGTCACTTTTTACAGCTTGAGGATGAAAAACAGACCTCAGCATTTTTCAGAATGAAAATTATGTGACTCAGTGTTCAAGCCATTAAGACCTGATATTCATTTATTCACACACATTGCCAAATTCTCTTATTATGGATTTTTGAAGACATTTCAAATTGCCATCTAGACCGAATCAAGGGGAATCCTAAGCTTTGAGACTTCATTTATGTCTTATTCTGAATATTCTAAAATAGCTGTTTCTTTAAAATAATGAAAAATGCATGCAGTTACACAGAGGAGGAATTCAAAAGCAGAGCTTTTTTGAGGCAGGTTACTCTATGCAGTTACTCTATTCTTATTGTAAGATAGAAACTGATTTACACAAGCTTTATTAGCTTCTCCCTCCTCTACTGGGCATAATGAGGTACTGCAGTCTGGTTTGGTGAGTCCCTGGGGCCTGAATTTGCCTCTGCTGGTCAAATCTATGTACTGCAGTGTGGCTGGCTGATCTGACTCATTCCCAGCATGCACGTCTTTCCAGCAGTAGCCGCAGCAAGCTGTGTGGGTTCCCTGTATCTGCAGCAGGTCAGCACTGGGTTTGCAGTCTTTACTTCCTGTCTATCAGCTGAACCGCTGTCTGTCACACTCAAGTTATACAGAGTCCATTTACCTCAGGGTGTTCTGTGTGGACTTCTAATGGGATGGTGTTTATTTTGGGCATGTTGAAATGTAGCTAATTTGTGTGCTCGGTAATGATGTGGGAGCCCCAGTTAGGGCGGTGGTGACGAGGTGTTGATAAGCCTCATGTTCACAGGTCAGAAGGTCACGCCATGAAGGTAACAGGAGTGCCTCAGAGTTAACAGGAGAAATACTTGGTAAGACTTTACCAAGCTGTCATCTATAATGCATTATAATGATCAGTATAATAATTAATAAAGCATTACAGCATATTCAATTGACAGTAATAAGGCATTATATTGTTGATTATAGTACTTCATAAGCTCCAGTGAAGCTCTCATCTATAATGCACTACAGATACCTTCATAAAGCATTATACTGGTCGGTATGAGAATTAAGGGTGCTTTGTACTGCATTATGAAGGTACCTATAGTGGATTATAGATGAAAGCTTCATAAACCATTCATAATGAATAATAAGCATTACTATGATTTGTTATGCCTTTTTATAAATATTTATAGCTACGTTTGTACTTCTTTATGAATGCATTATAATGTGTTATGAATGTGTTTATAGATTCATATAGACATGGCATTCATAAAAAGCGTTACCAAATACTCGTTATCATCAGCATCTCTACTTTCCATGTATGGTTTTGTTTCACTGCAGCACTTCCAGTAATCTGGTCAAATTTCAATGGGCTGCTAATGTGGGTGCTGGAGAACGCTGGGGCGAGTGCTGCTCTGGTTCAGCTGCTGGCTGTCAGTGGTTCTCCAGGTTCTGCTCAGGCTTGGGGGAAGATCTCACCCCTCCCTGTGCTCAGCTATACATTAGTCTGTGTTGCTGGGGTCTACAGCATACAACCTCCACGATCTAGGGTTAAAGTAGGCCAGACCGATCCAGAATTGCTCTTAGTAAATAAATCTAGCAGTTTCATAAATAATGTCAAACAAGTTTATTTTTCATGTGTTACAGCCTAGCGTTCCTTCCAGCTGATGCCATCAAGATACTCAAAAAAACAGAGTATTAGTCTCTTAAATCTGTTTTTATCTATTTTATTTAAATCTACGCACAGTCCCAGCAGTGATTCAGGGCTACATTTCACTGCATGTTGTACATCTATATGTGACAAATATACTTCTTGAATCTTGAATCAGCCTGCCCCCACACTCAACACGCATTCTTTTTCCATTCTCATCCCTTCCCTTCCCTTCGGTGCATTCATGCATGCAGGTAAGCTTGTGACTGAGATACTAACTAGATACAGAAGGGGAGCAGGCATAAACTGAGCTGGTTTTTTTTTCTGAAGAGGTAGGTAAATTCAAATGAAACGTTTCAAAGAGCTCAACAAGTTTCACCAAACACACAATTTATGTGTAACTAGGCTATCTGTCTTGCTAGCTACTGGTATGGTAGCTGACACTTTGGCTGGCACTTGGGTTAGCTTAGCTAACGTGACTTTAGGTTCCACTTAGAGGCGGCGCTAGCATGGGGTGAGGTGTGCCACTGCTGGCGATGACCGTGAGGAATCCCCTACAAGGGCCCTTCTCCCCTGCTCTGTCTGCACTCGCTGTCAAAGTGGGCGGAGTTGATTTAGCTCCACCACTGGTCCTACTGCAAGTATGAAGCTACGTCAAAATTGCTACATTTTCATTTTAAAAAGCAAACATTTGTCGCAATTTTTGCCTTTCATCCACACCACCCCAGAGTTTTCAGCTCCGAGATTTTGTAAACACTCTCGCAGCCATATTCTTCTGAAAATTCAATTTGAGAGTTGCAGTGTGGATGAGTGAAAATGGAGACTTACAGAAATGCAGACTGTAAAAGCGCCCTAATTGGTCCCTTGTCAATGTACCTGTACTCATACCTGTACAAATAGCTATACGCACAAAACAAACTAATTTACCAATCACTATGCCAATGCGCACATACCCAACGTAGGCTAAGAGCCACATCATATACGTTTTCACTCGTTTCAGTATGGATGCAGATACTTTCTTTAATGATGTGAAAATGCCTGTGTGGACGTAACCCAAGTCAATTTGGGAGTTATTTTGAGGTGAATCATTTTTCCCCAGTGCACTGCTGCCCCGATCTTCGGGGGTTCCCCACCTGCTAAATCCCAATTTAACCCCTGTCCAAAATTCCAAAAAAACTGTATATTATTGCAAGCTGTAGTAATGTGAAATATTATTATGCATGAGTCTTGCTTGAGTGATCTAAAGGCACAGGCTACGTATAAATCTGTGCATAGGTGTGCTAATATGTGCTGAATGAACAGGAAGTGAAATGTAGACATAGACAGCAGCCAGCAGAGCAGCTGGAACAGGGGAATCACTTAACATGTGTGTTTCCAGCCCAAAGAGCTTTAAGGCAGGACTAAAAAGACATGGGAACAGGAAGCAGACCAGCTGGGATGGGGGATTATCGCTTAACCCATCTGTGTTACGATTAGGACGAAGAAAACACAGGAACAGTGAGCAGACTGTGACACATTCAGATTACAGCCTCATTTATTCTACTTTTTTCAGTTCTACTCTCTTCTTTTTCCTTCTTGGCTCCTTGGTGGGCTTCTTACCCTCACTCACTTTGCTGCCTCTTTATCTTTGGTTAGGGCTAGAGAAGGAATAAAGTTGGGGACTCATTAAAAAATTACACAGAGTGTAACAAAGCACCATGTCTAAGTCTTCACATGATAACATTCCACCACTGTATCACCAAACCTCCACCACAACACTGCGCCATACCTCGAACCTCCAGTTTACATTCCACCATGTCTTCCCCTAGGTCATTGACGGCCTTGCAGGCATAGTTGCCCCCATCAAACAGGCTGGGTTTACGGATGCTGAGGGTCAGCACCCCTTGGTTGTTCTGCATGAGGAACTTGGGGTCATCCCCAATAATCATCCTGTTCTTCATCCAAATGATCTTGGGCTAAAAAACAAAAACGATGAGTTTGTTTGTACCTGAGAGGACCTCAATAACCCACTAACCCACACAGCGATACACATGGCGGCTCACCTTGGGGTAGCCACGTACAGAGCAGCTTATTGCGGTAGTATAACCTGCAATGACCGACCTATCTTGCAATGGCTGAGTGAATTTGGGGGATGTTTGCATGTCTTTCTCCTTGTATGGAAGCTTCAGGTAGGCCAGACCTAAATAAAATGGGACAGGTGGGTAGGGATGTAACAGTCGGCATGGGCTTCACTGTGATTCAGCCGCAGAGAAAACTGGAGGAAGTATACCAGTCTTTGCGATGACTGCAGTTTCCTTGCTGAGCCCAGCCTCATCACTCAGCCCACAGATGTTCTCACTGAAGATGCGGAACATGTACTCATTCCCAATGACCAAGTCAGACACGGTGCAGCTGGGACGCCGGTTTTTTTCATACACAGTGAACCACTCCTGCAAACGGAAGTAGTAGAGGGATGTGGTAAGTACAGCCTGAGGGCCCACTGCCTGGTGCCACCACAAGACCTAAGCTCGGTGCTCTGTGTGAGGGTTCAGCTGCAATTGAGGATAGAGGTCACTGGAGTCTCCTGTTAGTGCTTCCTGGAAATCTTAGCCCCTTGCCACTCACATTTGTTTTCTTGTCAGCCTTCTGAATGGTGTAGCCCGTGATCTCACAGTTGCCGTCATCTTTAGGGGGCTTCCATTCTAGAGCTGCATTGAAGCCCCACACGTCTGTCACCCTCACGGCTATAGGGGGGCCTGGCTTTTCTGTCGGAGAGCAGGTAAACAGAGTTCGAGTTGGAAAACAATAGCTAAGACGAATTATTAGTATTTCAGATGCCTGCTGGCTGTCACATAAAGGTCATATCTCTGAGAACTGAATGAGATCAGCAGGTTTTTTAGACAGCGTAGCAGGAACTCACCCACGACTCGGATTTCGAAGGTGGCCTTGTCTTCCATGTTCTCAATCTGCACTGACAGCATGTATGTCCCGGAATGATCCCTCTCAGTAGAGCGAACAAACAGGATGGTGTCCACTTCCGTGGTGCGAACAGATACCTTCTTGGCGTCAAGAGGCTCCCCATCCTTAAACCAGTTGACACTGGGGCGGGGTTTCCCCTGTGATAGGGAGAGACGTACTGCTTTACAAGAGGATCCTCAGCATTCTTCAAAGCCTTGGCCTTCTGAGGATATGGTAGTCAGTTTTTCCGACACTTGGCTATAAGTGTCAAAATATTGCTTGTTGTGAATCTTAATGTGGAATTAAATTTCCCTGTACATGAATGTAGTAACACTCCTGTCGTCTCTGCTGTAACAGGCAGACTAACCTGGAAGGGAATGACCAGGTTAATCTTCTCCCCAACCTTTTTGATATACTTGGTCCTCAGTTGGCGGGGTAGACGGATCCTAGGTTGTTCTGCCAGACAGGAACAGTATGTGAGAAAAGAAATAGCAGACAGGAATGATAGGCAACATGGTAGGTGTGGAGTCACTTACCAACAATCTCACGGATAGTGACAGGTTGCGCCATAATGGCTGGGGCACTACGGCCGGCCATATTCACAGCCATCACCCTGAACTCCATCTTCTCTCCCGTGGGCAGCCCACGGACCATATAGCTGTTCTTATCCACAGGATCCTGGTTGGACTGGACCCACTCAGTATCTGAGATTGAGAAAGAGGAGGGAGAACAGGTGAAGAAGGGGGTGAAGAAGGCCAAAAGAAGAGAAGGTGACTCCGGACAGATTCAGCTAGAATCACGATGATGCTTATAATCCCACATGGGGTGACATTAACATCTGCCGTCAGTCGATATCTAATTTATTCCTCAGCAAACCAATAAAGTAGCCAATGAGAATTGGCTTAACCAGTATGTGATTGACAGTTGCTGGATAACCACACCCAGCATGGATGCCGAAGTTGCCTTCCTCATTAATAAAGTAACCTTGGCCAGGGTGGTCAAGAAATAAGAAATAAAACAATTACTGTAATGATAATATCCATGCAGCCCACTGGATTTTAATCCACCTCAGTTAGTCAATTACCAGTTGACTTTCAGACTGTAAAAGAAGTGTCAGGGTCTGTACTACCCTACCCTGCCCTTCAGCTCCAGTGTCCCTAGTGTGTTTCCCCTGGTACCTGGACCGCTGCTTAGCTCTGTGGGTTGAGTGTGGGGTCCTGAGACTATAAACCCCCTGGTCATGAGTTTGAGGCTGGCCAAAAGCTACCTTCATTTGTGACCTACGTATTATCAGTTCCTGTGTGTTTGATATTGTATTATTGTCTTTGCTTATTGTCCCTGCATCTGATTTTCCTTGTTGTGTCTGGTGTTACTCTGTTCTGCATAGCCTTATGTTCCTAGTCTTCCCTTAGTGTTTATTAGGTTCTCTGGTTCCAGGTCTTGTTAATTATAATTTATTTCTTGTTGTTCCATGGCCTTGTTGATTAGTTGTTCACACTTGCCCTTTGTTAGTCCTTGTTATCTGTGTATTTAAGTGTCTGCCTTTGTTCATTTCTCTAGTAGGTCATTGTGTGAAGTGTCTACCTTATGTTGCTCTGGATTGTCTCTGCCTACTGTTACCTCGCCTGTTATTTCTTTACTTGTTGTCTAGTCCTGTTCCCATTATCTATTAGTTCCTTCGTGTGATTAGTTAAGTTTTCAAGTTTATTTTGACCCCTAGTGGTCCTGTTTGGTGCTTTTCCCTGTTTGTTCCATTTATTCAATAAACCTTTGTTGTTTTAGAGCTGCTAAGTGGATTGTCACCTCATTTCTACCTGCCCCATGCCCTGAGTCTGTAACAAGAAGCCAGTTCTGCCCCATGAGTCAGTTTTAGCCCATCTGTGATTCCTACCCAAGAAGTCTGTTTCTAGGCATATATCAGTGCTGTTGAAGGAGTCAGTTTCTAGGCATGAGTCAATCATAGTACAATCTTAGGAGTCAGGTATAGTCCAAGAGTCAGTGATTTCCTAAGAGAACATTCAGTAATAGCTTGTAATGTGTCTGTTCCATCCTATGAGTCAGCACTAGCTCACCTCCCTCCTTGCGGTATTCTATGATGTAGCCGTCAAGGCCCCCTGCCCCTATCCTCTCTGGGGGGCGCCACTTCAGCTTGCAGCCACTATCTGTGACATCATCCACCGTGAGGTGAGTTGGCTCACTGGTGGGTGCTGGACACAGTGAGAAGGAAAGGAACAGAAAGGTCAGCAAATGCCATGTGTAAGTGTGTGGTTGACACACTCAAAATCAATTATATTTACTTTATGTAGTAGATGCTTTTGTCCAAAGAGACATACAAGTGAGTGAAATAGCACATTACAAACAACTGTCAAGGAGTCAACTAGGCATAAGTGCAGCTAGGCTGAGCTTCCAATCAATGCCAGGGTACAAGTGTAAGCAGTATTGGAGCAAGAGCTACCAAACAAAGGAAGTAACTAATAAGACAATTCTAACACTCAGTACGTTTACATGCACACTAAGAAAATCGAATTATTGTGTTAGTCTGACTGAAATCGTACTAAATTGAACTTCCCAAAGTCGGACTAAGACACCCAGATAATGCGACTGGGAGTCAATTTACTCCTGCATGTTTACGTTCAAATGGACTCAAACTGGCCTAGGCCCTCTGCGCGTGCTCCACAGTCTCTCCCCCCGGACTTTGACCCGGAAGTAACAGAAGACGCCAGTACACAGAAGAAGCATGGAGCATAGCAGAGGACGTACAGCACATATGAAATATACAGCACTGTAAATCTGTCCAATTCACCGCTCAACCAAAGGGCACATTTCCACCACACCAGGTACTGTACTTTTAGTACTTAAAATGGACCAAAAATACAGTACTACAAAGTGTTGGTTTACACTGGCATAAAAACTGGTATTGGCACCGAATGACATCACAACGTGAGGCGGCGTATTTTGTACTGAAGAATTGGCTGTAGTACAACTGGACAATATGAAATATTAATACCAGCATCGCATGTTATGCACGTCCAATACTTACTTTACTAGTCAGCTAGATTAAGATTAGGCTTTTTCTTTCCTTCAGTTTGGTATGGATATTATAGAGCAGGGAGTTTAAATCTCGCTAAAACATTTTTATTCTGTCTTAGGAAAATAAAACTTTGCAGGTTTTGCAGTTTTGAATGATTATTCCTTTTCAAGATTATCAGTATATGTTTAAAAATCAACTTAAAGTTTACCTCCGCAGCTTTTGCATGAGTGCTGCATGCGTTCTTCAAGACACTCATAGTCATTTTCGTCCTTGCTGTTTAAATCACTCCTAGACGGGTTCATGAGAAATTTATGTTGAACTCCTCTTTTTGTTTCATAAATACCCCAATATTTATTACAGCAAAATCACATTGCAATATTTGAAAAATGTCCAATACCGTGCAATATTATACAGAATACTTTATTTCTTTTTATGCTATCCTGATCTTCCTGTATCTGTTCTTCTGACCAGATCGCAATTAAAGCTTATGTCACTTCATTTATCAATGCATCCATATTATTACTTTTATTATTTTGTGCCGTAATAGGTCAACCAGAAAAAACCCAATACTAACAAGCTGAAAGGAGCCATATTGCTACCTATTGTAGCGGAGTCAGACATACTTTGGTCAATAAATCGTTTCCCCTCCCGTACATGTATACTGGGACAAGGACGATAGTCCGCTTAAATGCCGTAGTCGAGCTATAACTGTAGCTCGACTTAGCTGTGCATGTAAACGTACTGAATGAGAACACTCAGGGAACCTGGTGTAGGCTAATAAAGATGTCCCTGGAACAGATGGACCTTTTTACATGAAATGCCTTTAACCAAAGCTTCTCACCAGGATTGCAATATTACTCAGTTTTCAGCACTATGTAGAAAGTGCCTCATTGAAAGATATTACAGCTGGACCTGTCCTGCAGTACATACATGCAACCTTCTGGCATCAGTGGACTGTTCTGCATGAACAGGAGAATAGCATCTCTACACACCTATAGGCATGAAGGGCTTGGATGTGCTACTGGCTTGGGAGACACCGATGCCATTGACAGCAAACACCCTCATCTCATAGAGCACTCCTTCAATCATCTTCTTGGCCTCATAGGTCGTTGACTCATAGATGTCAAAGTTTAGCTTCGTCCAGCGAGAAGAGCCCTTCTTCTTCCTCTCCATCAGGTAGCCTGAGGGAGTAAATGGCTCTTTATTCTTGATACGTCAGGCTGCTGTACTCTTGGCATTGTCTTCCTCAGGAAGAAGCCACCATTCTTACTGTATTTAAAAATATTTAAAAAGTTATCAAATTCTATTCATACGTCTTCAAAGTACTCTATGAAGCTGAGCTACTTCTGCTTTCTGCCATACAGAGGTTTTATGTTTAATTGACATTACTCAGTAAACACTCTAAATACCTTTTACTAGTGAGCCGCCATCAAATTTGGGGGCTTCCCAGGTGATAGTGGCAGTATCCTCCCCCACTCCAATACACTTCACACCCTCAGGAGGGTCGGGTACATCTGGGGGGGAGAAAGTGAGGTCAGGAAAACATGTGACAGGTGAAATGAAGTCAGCTCAGTACTGATGATTGATGACACAGTATGCAGGACGAAGACATTGGGCAGAGGGACACACAAGTACGGACCTACAATCTTGATTGTCAGCTCAGCTTTGTCCTCGCCCGCTGGGTTGTTTACGGTGATGCTGTATTTGCCCCCGTCTTCCCGCTCTGCTCCTTCGATCACAAAGCTGCTCAATGTCTTTCTGTTATCCACCCTCACACGTCCCTCGGTCTCTGAGATCACCTGTAGAGGGAGCCGGGTCAGGAAAGGGCAGGAGAGCCCAGCAGACAGCCCAGGTTATATGCAGAGGTGGACATTTCAGGTCCAGAAAGTAAAAATCCAGACCAGGATTTTGTTTCAACCATCCAGTTGAGTACTACAGTATGTGATCATGACTCTTTATGCTCAACTGGTTGGTTAAAACAAAATCCTGGTCTGGATTTTTACTTTCTGGACCTGAAATGTCCACCTCTGGTTATATGCTGTTGCTGTATGCAAGGGATCATCGCAAGTACCTTTAGCACAGCTGAGTAAATAGATACTGTAAGTCTCTTTGGATTAAAAAGTCAACTTTCTAATTTCAGAGTTAGTTGGTCTATATTTGGAGAGATGAACATTTTCACTATATCTCATAATTACGCTGCACTGCTGTAAAATAAAGCTAGCAAGACAAAGGAGATATTATTGGGAGATATTAGTGTTCACAGGAGCAGCGGTGACTCTCAGTACCGCACTTCCCTTCATCCTGTCCCCTGTAACACAGCAGTGTGACAGTGACACATATCCCAGAACAAGCTGCTATCCATCCGAGGGGGGGTTTATGTCCTCACCGTGTCTCCTTTCATCCAGCAAACGGTGGGGGCAGGGTCTCCTGAGATTTCCACATCCAGACGCAGCTTGTTGCCCGCAACGACAATGATGGTGTTTTTGTTCACCATGTTTCCAGTGGTGTCCAAGTGAATCTTGGGTGGATCTGAGGAGGACAAGGAGATGGGGGAGGCACAGCAGATGAATGAGCTCAGGGAGCAAGTGGGGTCACTACACGAAGACACCTGAACAGTGACCTCCACCTACCTTGACGAGGCACGTAGTCAATCTTGATTTCTGGAACAGAAATAGAGATAAAAATAAATGCATTTAGTACATTTGTACTTTAGGAGCTCATATAGTGCATGGGAATCATTCTTGCGGAGCCACTGTTGCTCTGTAACACTGATGATGTGTGGTTTGCATGCATCATCCTCATGATGCCATTGGACAGACATGGTGTTCAAGAATGACCGCCATTTCACTTCTGTAAACCGAATCCTCTGCCTCACCCAGAAAGTTGAGTTTAGCTGAGAGGGAGAGTGCATATCCTTCCGGCACAAAGGTGTAGTCTCCCGCATCCTCTGGCTTCACGTCATCTATTGTCAGCTTGTGGATCCTGGAAGAGTGGGAATGACAACTTACCCACAACTGTCCTGTCAGCATGTAATGGTGGAGCCACGCAGCCTGTAGGCATTTGTATTTTTCACTGCCTCTTGGGCTGTTCAGAGATCCCCTCTCTCTTTGACTCACCTCCCTATGTGGGCCATCTTGATGCGGTTGTTGGCCTTCACCTCCACACCATCCTTAAACCACTTCCCTGTCACCTTCTCATCAGACACCTCACACTTGAACATGGCCTGCTCAGCCGCCTTCACAGTTAGGTCTGCAATACTCTGAAGGACCTCCAGCTCCTTGTCTGAGAGACACAGTCACATGACTTTGCTTATAAGCTCTGCCCAACTGGAATGAAATGCAGACTTTTCTAACAATAGACAAAAGTTAATCAGTAGCTAATGTCATTCAGAAGTTTAACACAGTTTAGCAGATGTTTTATGTAATCATTTATGCTTGCATTTTGATTTTTGTGTCTGACACAAACTGCAATAAAATTTAAAGGTGTATATTCATAAATGGTAACGAAACAAACTACATTTTATTTGAGACTGGTATGGAAGACAGAAAATGACAGAAATTGATAGTTTTGATACATGGTCAGTGCATTAAGGAAATACCTTCAACCTCCAGTTCGGCTTTGGATTCCCCCCCATTGGTGAAGATTTGGTACATTCCTATGTCCTCCTTGGTTGCCTCGTTGATTATTAGCCAGTGCTTCTTCCCATCTTTCTTAAAGCGATACTTTCCATCTCTTGACAGCTCTACGCCATCTTTCATCCTAAAGGCAGGATGAGATTTGCAGTTAGAGGGACAGAGTCACAAACCATCAGGCACAGCCAAGGTTCCACACTGCCTCACCATTTGACGTTGGCTCCCTCTTCAGACACTTCTACCTCAAACTCCACTTTCTCTCCCACCACCACGTGGACATCATCGAGAAGCTTTGTGATGGTCACAGGGGGCTCTGTGGGTGAGATCAACCGCTGATGAAGAATGCTATCATTAGCCACCTGGTAACCAATCCCAACTCTACGGCTACAGCTGCTGCTTTCCTCCTGAACACTTACCCTTGACAAAGACCTCAGTGAAGCTCTTATCTTCCCCAATCACACACTCATAGGCTGCGTCGTCTGCCAGAGTGCATTTGTTGATTGTGAGGGTTCTCTTGTTTCCCACACTCTCAAACACGTACCTGATAAGCGAATGGATCATGTGAAAACAGTGAGAAACAGAAAAAGGACAGCAGGGTCTCCCCAGATTGGGCCAATCTTTGTGGACAGCCACTGTGCCACTGCCAGACAGCTTCCCACATACTTGGCAGAAGGTTTAATCTCGGTTCCATTCTTCAGCCATTTGAGCTGCGCATTGGGATCAGCTATCTCCAAAGAGAGTTGGATCTTCTTGCCTTTGTCGACAGAGTAGGCTGTCTCAAGCTTTTTCAGGAAGGCTGCATGTGAGTGACCGTAGAATGATATTGGGTTAGTGACTACACATAACCTACAAAAAGCCATGATATATGGTGTATTAGCTTCATGGAAGCCCTGGCCTGGTTTTATTCCCTATAAGTACTCTGAGAGCTCTCACCATCACACTTCTTTGGCTCCACTTTCATCTTCTTCAGCCGTTTCAGCAAGCCCCTTAGGTCTGTAATTCCATATTGGAAAGCTATCTTTTCATAGTCACAAGGCTTAGCATCCTTTAGAATGTTCCACACATCCACGTCCTCCTTAGGTTCCTCCTGCTTTACCTCCCTGAGGGTTTGAAGAAAAAGCATAGAGGCCAGGGAACTGGTAGCAGCAATTCCGAGCTACTATGTTAAGCCAACGCTATTGTCTTGCTAGCAGTCTTGGTTTTATCCAAAGCAATTTACATGTCTCACAGTTTTACTCATCCATACAGCTCCATAAGTGTTCAACAGACGGCTGCTACTGAGACTTGGACAAGCAATATTCAGTTTGTGAGCCGGTATCTTCAATAACTATGCTCGCTTGTATATTTGGAGCTTTCATTGGTACCTTGCAGTATAAGTGACATGTGTGTGACTGCAGCTTTCTCAACACCATTGGCAGCTCGACCTCAAAAGAAGCAATACTCTCTCATACCTTTTCTTGAGTAAAACACTGAAGTCCAGTTCCCCTTCATCCTCTCCAGCCTCACCCCTATAAGTGGATGGAGAAAGTGACAGTATGAAACTGCTACAGTTCTATGTGCACAGAAGTACATTCTGACCAACACTCACGATCTTTTAAATGCTGCCAGAATGTTCGCTTGTTGCTCCTCTTGGGCAGCTGAAAGAAATAAAGGCAAAAGTGAGACTGTGTTTCCCAAAGAAACATCACTTGTCTGGCTCTAGTGTCACCTGCTCACCCTCCACAGTGATCTCGAATGTGCAGCTGTCACACTTGTCCTTGGAAAGCACCTCACACCTGTAGCCACCTGCGTCTGCATCCACCACCTTGACAATCTTCATCTCAAATGTATAGATCTGTAGGGGCCAGAGGAGGCTGTGTGTTCAGGACACATGGTAGCATGTGAGATGTCATGATGGGTGCACACGGGCACAAACCTTGGTGTTCCTGTCATAGGTCTCCTTGAACTGCAGATGCTTCCCAGCCTTGCTGCCAAGGTCCATCCACTTCCCCTTCAACCACTTGATGGCAGGTTTCTTCAACAGGTTGGAAGAGTCTACTTTGGCTATAAATGTGATGTCTTTCCCTAGGGGAAACAGCCCAGGCAGACACATATAACCTTATAAGTCTAACTGACATAAACCTATATACTTCACAGCCTTCCGTATCCCTTAAGTACTCACCTTTGATGGCGACAGTGTTCTCAGGTCTTTCCACAAAGAGACCTGTGAGCTCTGTCTGCTCTGGCTCCGCCCCTGGAGTGGGCTCTGTGGGTGACAGACAGTGAGACCAAGGCAAGCACAAGATGTGTATCTACTTATGGCTTCCTTATCTGATCCTGTCCTATTGTCGTGACCATAGCATTTATTTTGAATAATCAAGTACAGGTATCATACATGCGTATAACATGTATGTGATAAGAAGCATAATGAGGAGCAGAGAGCAAGGTGTCTTACCATGTGGAGGAAGTTCTGTATAAGGGAGAGATAAAGAGCAAAAGGAACTGATTAACCTCTGTGTCTGTGTCAATAGCCACTGTGTCTGTGTTGTTAGCATATGTGTCAGTGTCATTAGCCACTGTGTCTGTGTCGTTAGCTATGTATCTCTCTCGTCAGCAATGTGTATGTTTAGTTAACTATGTGTCTATGTTGTTAGCTATGTGTCTGTGTCATTAGTTATATGTCTGTGTCATTAGCTATGTGTCTGT